GGAGCAATTGCGCTAGAGCACTCAGCTCCTGGTTGTCTTTCAAAGGGCCGCATTTCTTCCATAAGTATACAACCATTGGCCACATTGATTCCATGCCACATGTGGTTGTGGTCTGCAAGGTACGATGTGCCTATATATATTGTGGTGTGCAGTCGGGCGGAAAGGTACGGTGCTGTACGTGGATGAACATCCTTGAAAGGGTGTGCCCAATACCATAGAGTCGAGTCTACTAGATATTCCCAACAGAAAGATGTGCAACGGATGTCAGCCATTCATGAGCTAGCTGGGTACCAACTTTTAAAACTGGAGTACAATGGCGCGGCCAGAGTTTGTTGTTCTCGAAGGCGCGCGCCTGAAGAACTCTTTCCAGCAATAGTTGACTTGAAGCTTCCTTGTTTCCCAGAGTTGATACGACACGGTTGCGCCGTGGTTTGTGTTCTACAAAGTGCTTTATTGAGATAGTGAAATGGAAGGGTCTAGTTTTAAATAAATTAAAAAAGTTGTTCATTCAGTGTGCTGATACAGTTCATATGCAGGAGGGTTCTCGTGTAGGCAGGAGAGTAGCCAGTATGTAGACAAGTGTGTGCGGTGGGTCCCATCCTAAGATGCTAGTTTAGATAACAAAAGGGATGAAAGAGAGGCTGCGTGGGTGTAACAGGGAAAGGAGACTGTGTACCTGTCTGTGTCTTAGCCGACGGCTTATGTTCCGCCTGATGGTTTGAGTTGTCGTGTGCTGTGTTCGGCAATCACGCTACGTCGCGACACTTCCTACACCGCCTTTTATACCTGCGCCCTCGCAGCGGTCTCTCTCAACTATGCTATTCTCGTCCCTCTATACCCCTTTTGTGCCTCACGGCTCGTCCTCGCTCGCCGACCGTCGAACCATCTAGCGCGCTTTGCGTCCTCTCCGTTCCTGCCCGTACTATGCGATCCGGCCTTGGCGCCAGACCTGTCGATCCCTGCCTTTCCCTGAACAGCCTGCTCTCCGACTTCTTCGCGGACTCTTCCGCGTGCGGTACGTCCGGTCCGGGTAGCCGCTTTCGATTCTCGCAGTACTCTGATGCACTAGTGAATGCGAGAGGTGGCGGGCGGCATCTGGGGCAAGGACTTTGGTACCGCTGGACTGCAAGCCATTGGTTTGGGTGTCTTCATGTGTTGTCGTTGGTGTGCTCGACGCATATCCTTGCGGTCTCGAATAAGTCCAGAGGCAAACATGGTTGATGGTTGGTACGGTACTGAAGGATTGAAAACATTTGAACACCATCACGAACGCTGGATGCGAAAAGTGGCCCGGCATTCCTCCTTGAACTATGCTTTGTGTTCTTGTTCTGACTGAAGTCAGAATTTTGTTGTGTTGATACACTTCAGTAGTTACCTGTTTCTCGTTGGCTCATGAAATCACAAAAACAGGTTCGTAGTTGTGTGCGTGGGTGAGTGTGTGTGCAACGCCGTCTGGTGGGGGATATGCCCCCCGCTTATCTTGCTATACCTAGCTGGATTGTTTTCTCTGTCTAGCAATAAAGGAGTGGACGGAGCTAAGAGTGTCAACGCTTCCAAGAAGTGTGTCAACTTGTCGCGGTGTGGCGCCGCTGTCCAACTCCTCTTGGAACTCGCCCCGGAATCGCGCACTCGCATCAGCTGAAGACCCAGCAGACTGTTGCAACAGTGGCTTGACGTACGCTTTCGCTACGCGTGTGAAAGATTGGTGTTGTTCTCCTCGATACGACCTCCCGTGCTAAATCGCATTTCTGGATCCTTCAATCTGCAGAAGACGTTCAATCTTGCTGTACGCACTTCCAGAATGCTACTTGTCTGATCGAGTCTGTACAGAGCTGCCTGAGTCGAACCATCACTCTCAATTGGGATCCGGAATTTCTGGCATGGTTACCCAGCGGCAATTCACTCAATCATAATCTCGGACAACTGCTCCAATCAATTCACAATGCGTCACAGTTCAGCTCCCTCGGCCTTCGTTTCGTGCCCCCAAACGTCACAGCTTGTCCACCCACCCTTCAGAGTTTAGGGCACAAGCAATGTAGATAGGCTAGGCTAGGTTAGCTAGGCTACGGTAGGCCAGGCTACGTAAGTACACTTTGACACAAAGTAACACTCTGTTGGAGGATGTTCAGCTGCTAGCCATGTGGTACGACCTGGTAGCATAGGAATTCTGCTCTGCCCCCCCCCCCCCAAGAAGCATTGATCCACACAAAGTGAGGTACCGGTATTGCTACAGTACCGTACAATCAAAGCCAAGCAAACAGGACTTGAGGGTCCCAATCTAGCCCAGAGGTACCTACGAGAATACATTCTGCAGCCAAAAGGTATAACTCGTGCGTCTTTCCTCCATTCTTGGCTGCTGCATGATTCGGAGATAGACTACCCCACAGGCATCCAGATCACCCGCGGGGGCAAATGATGGAACCTCTGAAGGCTTCATGGGTCCAATACAGTTGGTGTACGGTAGGTGTTGATGGCAAGACAACCACCTCAGTGATTCCATGCATTTGCGTTCCAATCACAAAGTAACCCCCAAACAATTCCAGCACCAGAAAGGCAGCCAAATCACTGCAGCAATGAAGAAATGGCTGTTGCTGCTTTGTGTTTTGCTGTTCTTATCTTTGCTGAGCGAACTGCTTCTACATTCACTGGAGCGAATGACTGGCATGATACCTTCCTCTGGAACCTCCATACTAACTGGATTGGCTTCTACCAGGTTGGAGTAACCAGATGATGCAATGATTGATGACGACGAAGGCATAACTGGAGCCCACTGCGCCGATGAATCACCATGACTTGGATGGCACCCACAAGAGAGAATTTGAGTGCACGGATACGTTGCAATACAAACTTGCTCCTTCGGAGAGAGGCCTCGACTATCGTCAGATCGGGATCGGAGACACCGCCCTGCAACCGACGCTCTACTTAGCGCAGTCAACATCCACCAGTGCCTCTTCAGCTTCCCCACCCTTCTAGCTTGATGTGTCCTTTCCTTCGAATGAATCGATATCGTAGCCGAAATGCTTGTGCATTCTATTTTAATAATCTGCAGCTAGAGCGGGAAAACCCCCTGAGTGCCCATTATCATACTGGTACGACATGGAAAGCCACGTTGGGACAATCCTAAGCTTCCGCCTCAACCTCTTTGCTTTCTGAGCTGGCAGCTTCCTTTTCCTCAGCTTCTTTCTCGGCTTCCAGAGCATTGGCAATAGTGGCCATGAGCTTCAGCTGCTCTTCCTTTTCAATCCTCTTCAATTCCTCTTCCTTTTCTCGTTTCTTTGCTTCGATCGCGGCGATGCGAGCTGCAACCTTCTTCTTCTTTTCTGCCTCGGTACCGGCTTCGGCAGCCTTACGAGCAGCCACACGGGCATCTCGGTCCACTTTGAACTGATCAAAGTGCGACTTTTTCTCCGCCTTCTTCACAGCAGCTTGTTGCGCTTCCAGAGCTTCTCGTTCAAGAAGGGGCATGGGGGTGCCAAAGTCTGAGGGGACAACCAACCCGTATTGAGACGACAAAGCTTGGATCTTGTAGAGCATGGACTTGCGAACGTTTTCACCGCAGGTTTCCAAGAGCTCAGCGGTCTTATCCGTCAAGACGGTCGACTGGATGGCAGCCTTGGGGTCATTGGTGGACTTGACATTGTCGAGCATCTTAGTGATTTTTCCGCGTCGTTTCAAGTCGCCCTGGCTGACACGCATTGTCATGAGAGGAGAAGCGTCATTGCGAACCAAAAGGGGAGTGGCGGGGCCAAATGCAGATGCCAGCAAAGGCAAAGCAACGGTGAGGAGTGAACGAAAGAGCATCTTGATGTTTGTTTCAAAAATTTGTGAGCAACTGTCACTTTGCCCTTCGTGATGGTGGTTGATGGGTCACAGACACACTGGGTGCCAGCTGATATCTTTTTCTTTCCACAAGCGGAGTATCAATCGTTGGATACAGCAAATCAGACCGAGGCAAGCAACATCGTCATCTTGAAAGCATCTGTGAAGAAACGAAGAAAGTGCTCGTTGGCGGATCTTTTGTCATTGGGTGTGATGGATCTTTGAAGGGTCGCAGTCCCGGATACTTTTTGCGTCACAGCCCCTGTTTTCTTGCTGACATCCGCCCCCAATTCTACCGTAGGTTTCCCTTTCTAACCAAACTGTCGGCGCGAAGTTTGATTCTCAGAGCTCCACAGAAAGGGCCCAACCCGTTGATAAGCTCTGGTCTGAGGGAGCGTCTGAATGACATCAGCCAAGATGGCTTGCAGTATAGAATCTGGCAAGTTCAAGACAAAGCGTGTTGGTGCCAAATGCGGATGATTGGGGGGTGTCGGTGAGAAACTCCTCCACCATCTCGGTACTTGCAGACTTAGAATCTTTGTCCTCGTCTTGCAAAATGGCGGCCGCAAAGCCAACAATTCCACCGCAAACAATCAGGATTCCCAATGCACCCAAAACCTCAATGTATGTCTTGCGTGTGGATTCATCCTCCTTGACTCTTGCCTTGGCTGGATTCACGGGTTCTATATATTCCAAAATGGGAGTATCCTCCACTTCCTTGGCCTCTACCCAACAAGCCTCTACCAAACGTCCGTAGAGTCCAGTGTTCCATTCATGGCAGCCACCATTTTCCGCATCATTATTCAAACGATCAGGTACCACATCATCAAACCAATTCATACTGTAGGACGGCGCCTGGCTGCGCAGTACCAGGTAGTGGATCCGGATGCTTGGGAAGGGACAGAACTTGCCCCGCAACGTCTGTCGCACAGAAGGAGCTTCCTGTACTTTCAGTCAACTACGCTTTCTCCGGTCTGGATATCCAGCACTTGCCGAGCTTGGCACCACCCACCTGCCGGGATGTCGGACGCCCGGAAGACGGTTGTACTTCCAGCATCCAGTGGACTGCGAGTTTCGCCCCTTTGCCTAACTTGGCACTGGCACAACCCGACTGTGAGATGTCGGACACCGGCAGGAGTTTGTATAACAGAGGTATTCGACGAAACCTTCGCGTATGAAAGGGAGTGAAGGTTGCGACTGCAGTGTACACCCATGATTAGCACCAGGAAATTGACAGAAATGCCACAGAGCATTGGTTTGAATTGAAAGATCACATGACGAAAGAGGAGGTCCAGGAGAAGACGCAGGGCATTCTGCCGCACCCAAACTATTTGCAGGGCTGTTGAAGTCCGTTGAGTCCAAGGATGAAGACGATCTCGTAACCACTACTAATACTGGTGAAATCACCAATGTGGGGGCGACATAACCTTGAATGCTCTGTTCGGTCATGCTGGTGCACTCGTAATTGCGTAACCCTCAATTTGAATGCAATATCAACGCCGTTTGACGATATACAAGAAAACTAGCTAGCTAGACAACCAAGGTTCAACGGTACATTTCTTCGAGCCCCACTCATTGCATATTGCAGAAAATTTTTGGACTTTAGCATGCAGACACCATACAGTACCGGTACAGTGCCACCAACATGCCCACAAATCTACATGCTTGGAGTTTGGCAGTGCTCTACCGGTATGATGTTGTGTCATCTCTATCTATCTTAGCTCTTGATTTCCTTCTCTTTTCGTTTCCGTTCTTGTTCCATATCTTTTTCCAGATGACTTAGCAAAGCCAAAAGTGTCGCAAAGGGACTAATGATGGGCCTACATTTCTTGGCCGTCGCAAGTGCGTCGTCGACACCCATGTCTGTCTTGTACATGAGGTATCCCACACCGACAGTGCCTGCTCTATGGGCACCTGCCAAACAGTGAACAAGGACACTGTGTCCAGCCGAGATTTGTTGATCGATAAATTCAAAGCTCGGCGTCATTCCCTTCAAGGCACCTTGTTTCTTGGCAAACATACCCGTACCAATGCGACTGCCGTGCGCGAGGTAGGACACGGGGAAGCGGAAATACGTGATTTTGTCGTTTTCTTCGTCGTCATCCTCGTCGTCTTCAAAGTAATTTTTGGACTCGAGACCCTGACAATTGACTATAGCGGTAATATTGCGTTCCTTTAAGGTTCGTCGATTGGAGGCTGCCATTTGATTTCCCACGTAGACCGTTCCACCACCGGTCGGATCTCGCCAAATGGCATTGAGATTGGAATATTGCGTCTCTCTAGTAGGTTGTAGGTTGAGTTGAGCGAATAATTTTCTAGCTTCTTCGTCATAATCGGTAAGGTCCAGACGCTTCGCTGCAGCTACCAGTTCACTCTTCTCCAAGAATGCCGAACAATCTACGCCACTTTGAGTGAGATGCTCTCGAAGCTCCTTGATCGACATGGATTCGTAATAATTCTCATCGTTTTCTGTTGACATGGCGGCCGTGTTATCGTCGTCGTGATGGTACTAGTATCCACATAAGATCGAAAGAGAGAGTCTCCAGACTGTCGAAGTCCAGAGATTCTTGGATGCCCAATGCGCATCCGTTGTCAAGGATGTGCACATGGTGTTGGATCTTTGGAACGGCGGAAAGGCAATTCTTTTGCTTCAGCCTGGCCCGGCTGGCTCCGTCCTCTAATAAACCCCCTTTTTAAATTTTTTAAAAAGGGATCCGGAATAAAAAGCGACAGAAGAACTTAGAATTCGGATTGTGAGCAATAAATCGCTAAGTACCGGACGGTACGGTACCGTATGCAAACATTTAGAGAGAGATTGTTCGTTCAATTAACGTTGCTCCAGGTTCAGCCCCCAGAACCGCAACCACAATGACAATCTATTCCGGATCCGCAAATTTTTACCAGAGGATGGTAACAATCTTCTAAAGAAGTAACAGAAAGGCAAGTCTCGGTGTGAAGGTCGGGTGACAATCCCTGGCTTCTTTTCTGCTTTCGCCTTGCAAACGTGAATCAACGTGATGTGCTCATGTTATGTGTGGTGTTCCCGAAGATCTCCTTTGCAATTGGAGATCCGGGTTTGATGGCTGGTACCAACAGAAACGCGATGTGCGGTTCAAACAATGCAATGCATGCAATGCGAGGCAATGCGATGCGATGCTTGTCCATTATCCATCACAAAATTACGTTCCCAAATCCTGAAACAGAAGGAGGATTTCAAAGACACCATCATTATTTCAAAGCCAGCCACCATGAAGAGTCCGTTCTTTCTGCTTGACCTCGCTTTGTTGAAGGACACCAGCGCTCTTGGCGCGATCTCCAGTGCCGAAAGCGGGGAACCATGTGAAATTGAGGGCCAAGCGCATTATGATTGTTTGATCAATCAGCCGCCTTCATGCTTGGAAAGTGTTACATCTTGTCTGGAACAAATAAGCACTGGCGGAGAAGCGTTTTGGAATGGACAGTGCCCTGACGCTGATTATAACGCCCCGATTCCTGGACCGGTAGAGTGCGCGTGCATTCAAGACGTGCATTGTGACTGGTTCCCATCATGCTGTGATGCATGTGCCTCTATAACACGTGTTTGGATTGAGTGCATCAATGTTAACAGCGACCTTGATCTCTACTGCCCCGATCTTTCTTGTTCAGGAGACAGCTCTGGAGGAGGAGGAGACACCTCTGGAGAGGCAGCTCCAACCCCAACCCCGGCTAGTAGCTGCTTTTCCGCAACCGCTTCCGTTGAGGTTTTGGGCAAGGGACAAGTGGAGATGCAGAAACTCAAGGTGGGCGACAAGGTGCTTACTACCACTGAAACTGATGAAGCTGAATATCAGCCGGTGTATGCATTTGGCCATCGAAGCCCAACCACTTTGGGGCGATTCCTTCAAATCACCACTGATACCGATAGTCTCGAAATTACCGGTGAACATTTGCTCTATGTTGCTGACAAGAGCCACCCTGTCCGTGCTGATTCCATCATTGTTGGAGACAAGCTTCAGACTGCGACGGTACTGCCAATCAGGTCAAGAAAATCAAGACTGTCATGAAAGAGGGGCTCTATGCGCCATTGACTCCCGGTGGAAAGCTTGTCATCAATGGCATCCAGACTTCGGCCTACATTGCTCTTCAGAAGGATGACCAAGAGCTGTTCACCACTCTCAATGGTCTCATCACTATCCCCCACTCATCTTACATTCATTTGTATCTCGCCCCTCTTCGTGTTGTCTGCCTTGGGATCTCTTCCATGCCCTGCCAACTAATGCATGAGCACGGAATGCCTCTCTACATCAAATGGGGGATTGATGTCATCAATATGGCCACCGATACTCCAATGTCTATGCAGAACTCATCTTTTTTGTCATCAGTGGAATTTTTTTGTCAGGATTTGTCGCTGTGGAGGCTCTCTTTGGTGCTACCCTGGGACCACTGATTGTCTTTTCTGTTTGTGTTGCATACTCCTTTGTTCGCAAGACCCACACTGCTAAGACCAACAAAGTAAAGACAGCTTGATGTCCAGATGTGTGCCAGCGGTATACCTGATCCCTTCAGTTAGGAGAGGTTGACCTTGTGGTGGTTCGGTCCTGTGGATAGTCGTTGACGGCGCTGCAGGAGTTTGTTGGGCTAGCAGCCCAACTGTCTTTCTATGCCCTGGTGTTTAGATTTATTCGTGTGATGATGAACAAGATTTGAAGAACTGCATCATCAGTTGTGTCAGATGGATATGGCTACAGATGCAGTGGGAATAGCCCACTGGCTGGCTTCCATAGGTAACCTACCTACTCTAAACCCCCCATATATATCTTATTGTAATGATTGATTAGTAAAGCAGGTTAGCTTCAATTTCTCTCAAGGTGTTGAGTATTATTGAGTGTTCATCCAACATAATGCTAGAGAAAGCTAGTCAGAATTTTTGATGGTTTTGAGTATCTACTAGCTAGAATCTAGAATTCTGAGAGATTAGAAAGAGAGGAAAATGAATCGAAAGTGAGGCCTGGATAGACCTCTGGATATGGTCGTGGAGAGCCATATCTTCTTGTTGTCTCGTCATGTGAAACTAAAGTTAAGTTCCACCTCACATGAAACTAGATACTAGTTTCACGCAAGCTGTGTGAAACTAGTCGTGCGTGAAATTGTGAGTCTATCCATAGTAATCACGCATAAATTTCAAGATGCTTACACTGAGGGATTGGCACTTGCTGGATTCAAAGAGTTACAAGTCAAAATGAGGTATGAAATTGAAGACTTAGACCTTCAAGGATCGCTAGGGTGTCATTCCTATATTGTGGCAGCTCAAATCTGGGAAGAGTTGCAGACAACATTGATTGATTAGGCAATAGTGCCAGAGAAGAAGCTCAAGCTGAATTATTACTTGATGGTACTGCATTTTCTGAAGCGCTATCCCACTGAAACTGAGTGGCAATGCGCATATCAAAAGTGGGCAGCAACACAGTGAGATTGGGTTTGGTATTTTGTTGAAAAAGTAGCTTAATTCCTTGCCTCCAAAGTTTATTGGCCCGAAGATTACATTCATGGAGTTAACATCTAAATCGTCACTGTTGGCACACATACTACTATGACTGCGGCATGGGAAGTTGCCCATCCAGTATTGATAAAGAATCCCGGTATGTTTAATATCAGCAGACAATGAGATTGTTCTATCTCTAGTTCAGAGTCAGGTGCTACAAATTTTGCCTGCTGAGAGAGCAGAAGAAAACCTCGACTGAGTTATGTTTTGAGCCACCGACGCTGGCCTACGTGACAAGTTGCATGAAATGAAAAAGAAAGCAATTGAACAGTTAACAGCGGTGGACTCGGATACACGGGCAATCAGGATGTGCTGAGCACTCCAAACACTCGTGATGTGCTACCGTATGCACTCCAAATGCTCATGACTCTGCAAGTTGTTGTAGGATATATTCCTCGTACGTCAAATTTTTATTGACCCGTGCAATACAATCTAATACGGTTCGTATCTATGCTAAGTGCGGGAACATAGGGATTTTAGATCTAAAGTCTTAGTATGTGCACTCTTATATCCATTCAGGTTGAAGAATCGTTCTCAACCATAAGCGATGAGATTTCGGAAGGTCTTTCCTCTGGGAACAACCTCTCTAGATCTCTTCCTCAGATCTCAGCTGGTAGTTAGGCAGTGAGGGAGCCCCAACTGGCTTTCCTCAGCAGGAGGATGGCTGTCAGTCAAGGACTTGGCCAGCGCCAGGTTGGGAGATCCCTGGTTGGTGAGATTCGCCCTTCACTGGGCTGTCAAGGCCAGCTCCTCAGAGCTGGCTGCCAATGCTATTCAACCACTTGCAGTCGGAATGGTTGAATCGCGGCTATTTACCCTAGCATGGTCCACACAGGATGTTCTCTACTGCAAGGCTATGGTATGCTATCTGGTTCTTCAGGCACTCTTTACTATTTCATTATTCTCAACTATGGGACGAAGATGGTGAATATCCATCTTTCCAGGCAATAAGCCAGCAAGCTGCCTTAGCGCTGCTACTACGAATCTAGAGCTCTTACCCTGTAATTCATAGCTCCCCACAAGGGCAAATGGATTCGCTCTTGCGGTAATACCACAGGTGAACGGTACGATTACCTACGGCTAGCTACACTAAGACTCCCCATAGGATCGGCATCCTTGGGATCAAATCGTTGCCTCTGGAACGGGACGATTGACTTCGAACTGTTGCGCTTGAAGTCTTCCTTGGGTCTCCCCAGGAGTGGTCATACCAATCGGCGTGACCAGCTTGTCGTCTTGAACCAAAGCAACTGAATCGACCAATGTAGAATCAGCTTGATTTCTTTGTCGCATTGGACAAGATCCTTCTTCGTCAATGCTTGTGTTGCGAGGCCTCAGAAACGGTGAGACTGCAACCTTCTCTTCTTGTCGTTCTTTCTTCAACATTCATACAAATAGGTGGCTCGAAGCCGGTGGCCAAGTTCAGCGGAGGCAGACTCCTGTGGAGTGGCCTTTCTGTCATGTCCCTTGACGGATGGGTTGGATGGGCTCGACCAGTCAGGAACAGAGACTAATCGCCCAACCGAAAATCCAGGTGAGACGGTATCTTCGGCAGCAAGGATTGGAATCGTCCAATCCTGTGGCTAGTCGTGGGACCAAGGACGCATTGGAACCATAGGCCAAAGGCACTAGAGGGGCTTCTATGCACTCGGTAGGAGACCTTGGGAGCTGGACCCGTGGTCTCATTCATCCATGACATGATGCTATTCTTGGGGCCAACATCCAGTTGTGTTGGTTGGCGCCTGCTGTGCCTCCCCAGTGGCATAGCTGCCGGAGGAATTCCCTCATTCGGAACCAGTCTGGTGGCACTGGGAGTACCGAAGAGGGGCAGTTCTGCTAGGACCGTGTTGGTTGCCTTGGGTATTGCCTGCTTGGGCGAACCACGGAGCATCCAACAGGAGTTAGTTGTCGTCTGTCCTCCAAAGGATGTGTGGCCCTTCTCGGACGGGACGACCGTTGTGTCTATTACATGCAGGACTCCCTGGGTTGGTGAGATCTTCCTGCGGCAGTCACTGTTGGTGGGTACAGTACTTGCTGGGGTGTGATGCCTGTCGATTGGCAACTCCCCATGAGCCAATGTGGAAACTGGGTGACACCTAGAGCCTGCGGTAATCAGCTCTATACTCTCCCCATCACCTAGTGATGCATTGGGAGTACCAGCTGGGGCAACTGGTGGCATCGTAGAGGCAACCGGGGGAGTGGCATTGGGCAGCTGGGCGTTGTTGGCTGTGACTCGCAAAGGACGAGTAACAGGCGACTCCCCACTGTCTTGATTCGAAGACGGGTGGTTGACCCTAAAAGTGGCTGCTTTCTGCCTGTTTTGGTTGGTATCCATAGATACTTGCTGGTGGAGGTCCTGGGGATGGCCAACAGTCTTGTTGGTGGCATAGAGGGCCTCAGCCAGTCTTCTCCTGATGGTGGAATTCGACATTGTTGTTGTCTTGCCACTGTGGAACCTAGCTAATTCAGGGCACTGAATCTTCACAGTCAGGCTTCCAGAACTCGAAGTGATATAGTCCATGACTAAACAAAGGCTTGCGGATTCAATGGTGATACTCGAAACCTTGTCGAATGGACTCTTTGTTGTCTCGTGGCTCTCCGAGTTGCTCTCCGAGTTGCTCTCCGAGTTGCTCTCCGAGTTGCTCTCGTCGCTCGCTCCGTGGGAAAGATCGCGATTTTACAATTTTCAATGACTCGACAGTGTAAAACCTTTAAAATGTGGGCGGAAAGCGTTTACCGCGTATGGGCTTGCTTTCAAGACAGAACCGGTACGGGGAACGTTGTCATATAAGTCTTCGTAAGATCCAGGATCGAAAAAGAACTCGGTATCGTTCCACGTGACTGTGACGTACTGACTCGGTGTACAAGCAATAAGTACCGGACCTGGACGGGCGTTTTGATTGGCTGAGCGGCTTTTGGGAAGAACTTCCAGTACGTTCTCGTAAATCGCTCAATACTGCACGGCCGCTTGCAAAGAGACAACAATTGTTCCACAAGCGTTCCGTGTAAATCGAATTCCTCGAGACGTAAGAAGCTTGCTCTCTTTTCAAGACACCAATAAGTCTCGACAGCCGTGCAATAAGGCTTGAGTTCACCGCAACTCCGAATACTGAGCGTTGAGCGATCTTTCCTTTTTGTGGTCAACTGTCAAGGAAGCTACCTCGAGGTAATGGCATTGTCAAGATGGTGTTTTCTTGTAGGCTCCTTTTCAAGGCAATGGTGATGGTGTTGGCCTTGTTAGAATTGCTAGCTGGTCAACTTAAAGGTGCCTGACGCTCTGGTGAAGGCTGGAGCTGTCAGAATTGACCAAAAGGTTGTTGATTTGTGACTTCAAAATGGGCTTTGAAATCACCACCAAAATGTCAGTGAAAACACACTCAAAGGATGGTGCAGACCAACTGTAGCTGTAGTAGTCACTGTGGTGATTGTTGTAATAGACTGTCGAAGAGATCCTTGTATCGTCCAGGACTCTTCTTCCCTTAATAAACTGCCTGCAGTATGCGAACTAGTTAATCCGATGAGATTTCGGGAGGTCTTTCCTCGGGGAACAACCTCTCTAGATCTCTTCCTCAGATCTCAGCTGGTAGTTAGGCAGTAAGGGAGCCCCAACTGGCCTTCCTCAGCAGGAGGATGGCTGTCAGTCAAGGACTTGGCCAGCGCCAGGTTGGGAGATCCCTGGTTGGTGAGATTCGCCCTTCACTGGGCTGTCAAGGCCAGCTCCTCAGAGCTGGCTGCGCCAATGCTATTCAACCACTTGCAGTCGGAATGGTTGAATCGTGGCTATTTACCCTAGCATGGACCACACAGGATGTTCTCTACTGCAAGGCTATGGTATGCTATCTGGGTCTTCAGGCACTCTTTACTATTTCATTAGTATTCTCAACTATGGGACGAAGATGGTGGATATCCATCTTTCCAGGCAATAAGCCAGCAAGCTGCCTTAGCGCTGCTACAACGAATCTAGAGCTCTTGCCCTGTAATTCATAGA